CAGTTGATGGCCCGACTTAAACTGATGTGCCTCAGGCCAACTCCAATAAAACAGAGAATGGGCCAACACTGGCAATCAGTAATAGGTCCAATTGCTATTTTTTTAATTGGCCCGATTGTGGCATCATAGACTAGGCCTACTCACTCACATGACGTGACATCCCTGTGGCGCGCAGTGCACATCTTACAGAAACACAACTGGTCCAATTGTACTTCAATGCAATGCAATGTGAAGAGTCACAAGCAACAAAACGCTCCTTATTCTATGAAAATCCGCCGCATATTGACGTCAAACACCTGCTGTAAAGATGCAATACAGTGGACGCGTGTACGGCAGCGGTGAGCGGTGGCGCACAGCATGTGTAATTTCATTCTTTACTATTTACACAAAATAAATGTAAAAATATGTTTTAACACAACACAGGTTAAATGATCAGTTACACAGACTAGGCAGTGTTAAATTAGTGCGTTAAATTTTAAAACACATATTTTCTAAGTTACGCAGATTCTTCTCCTACTGTCACCCATGACAAATTCGCGGTTATATCCATCGGTCATCGGCTCAACTACTTGCTGACCAACAGCCGCCGATTGATATTCGCGGTCAAAACGGCGACCGTCCCCGCAGTTCCGTTTTATCTTGTGTGCGCCGATTGTCATCTCCTCCGTGAAGACAGAAGGCGCGATTTATCTCCATCTCTTCAGCGGTCTCTGCAACTGTAGGTAGGTGACTCCACCAACTCTACTGTATATTTACTTTTAAGTTTATAGTTGTACTATAAACTGTTTTATAGTCATCCACTAAAGAGTTGTATTGGCATAGGTGCACGTTTAAAGCCACTTTTACATTACCATCTATCTTGGAATAGCCTAACGTGTATGGCCCAAGTCGGGCATAGTTCTCTTACTATGCCAGTCATTTTATGTTAAGTGGTTTTACAATAGTTTATTTAAACATTCTGCTCAATATATTTTTTAGAGAGTGGTGAGGCTGTGCGTGGGGTTTGATCGATCCGGCTAGCCCCTAAAAAGTGCGCACAATAAGCTGTTGGTACTTCCTCTGTGACTGGCGAGTGGTCGGCGCCATAAAACCGACTGGGCCCCTCGGGTCGGGGATTGTTTGGCCTCTTAAACTTTCTGTAAATAGTTCAAGATAAATCAAGAAGATAATTCCTGTTGGTGTGTATAATCAAAATATATAATAAAATTGAATCCATGTGTGTACCTCCAGTTAAAAACAATCTGCCTTGAGATTTGCATCAACATCCAGTAAGTGCAGTCACAATGCAGTGCATACATTTTGGGGGAGTTAAATGGTTGTATCCAGTACAGTAAGAGACCGTGTGCGGCTGATGCTGTTTTGGATTGCTCGTCAACTGAGTCTTCCTCTCGATGGTGCAGTTTAGATTATTTATTGAAGAGGATGGATCAGGTACATGGAGATGATGATGGTTTGACACAGTGTGTGTGTAAATGTATAAGTATGTGTGTGCGGGTGCGTGTGTGGTTATCTGAAACAGAAAAACAATAAAATGTATATTAATAAACATGTAGGCAGGCTACAGTATGGTTACAAACAGATGTATAAACATGACCTGCAGTACCACCTACAATCCACTAGTGAGAGCTCTAACACTACATGCGTAATGCTGTGTTCACACCGGGCGCCTCCGACGCCTCCAAAGCGTCAGGTTTACATTGAAAATACATTGAGGACGCGGGCCAACAACACCTTCTTTGCAATGTCTGAGCAAAAATTGGAATATCGATATTGAAAAATAAAATAGATATATTCATTGTTTTGGCAATATTACCCACTATTTTCAATGCAAATTGTAATTCAAGCAAAAATATATACAGTCAGACAACAAAACAATGGTTTGTAACTGTATGATCACATGTCTTCGATCACACTGGCCTGTCCTCACCATATTTTTATCAGTCCTCATCAGCACACGTGAATTTACTCAGATAAGATCAGTGCTGCTGCTACAGTTTTTCTTACTTTAGGGTTAGGGTTAACAATATGGATGCTTATTTGTATTGCTTTTCATGGTCTTCCAAAAGCACTTCACACAGTGTAGGCCGGGATTTGTACTATCATAAAAGCTATAGCTTTATATAAAAATAAAATAGAATGTACAGTTTGTTATTTGTCGAGTGTTTGACCCATTGTATTTTCTTTTGGGCAGAAATGTATTCCATTGTGGAATTTCTGGAGGCAAAGGAGGTGGAGTTGGTGCCATCAGTATGGGTCACCAATGGTCATTGTGCGTGGCCCTCGGGTTTGAGGGGCACGGCACTAAGCCTTGCAGTTCGTACTGCGACCCCTGTGGAGCCAACGTGGGAGCAGTACCGCGTGCGAGTACTATATACAACTGGTACATTCATCATCCTTTTTTCACTGTTCATGGTCAATTATAGTCACTGTCAGATAGATAAACAAACATCAGGCACTGTGACACAAGTTTATACCCCTTGGTGGTGAGTTTATAGCCACGTGTATAGGAGCTGTTTGTTTCCTCAGGGCCTGGACAACATGCTATCATCAATAGAAAAAATAATGAATAGGTTTATCAAGATATTTTGCAGAAAGACCTGAAACATTCACAACAGCATGGAATATGTTAGTGAACCCTTGTATTAAATAGCTGCTGATCCTTCTTTTTCAGCAATAAGTGCTTTCCTGTAGTTGCAGATTAGACGCTCACAACGATTAGGATGAATCTCCTCTTTACAAAACTGCTGCAGTTCAGAGAGATTCAAGCAGTGTACTTACTTATTCCTCCCTGTCCTGTGAATGTTTACATGTAAATGTTTGGGTGGTATTAGTTTTGTTGGAATAATACTTCAAAAAGTAATTCCTCTTTGCCTGTGGAAGCCAAATAAGTTAATGCAGTAGTATGTAGTGGGTGGAAAATATTTAGCTTTAGACATTTCCTCAGAGGACAGATTTGCTAGGTCAGGATGATATGAAGATAGGATCAAATACACTACACCCTTTACAGACCATCACTGACCAAAGACCATCTTTTTAATTTTAAATGCCCATTGTTACGTATCACCGAAGATTACATTTATATTGTAGACTTATTAGCACTCCTTCTCATGTTAGGAGTTTGCTTTCCTACTTTCTCCAAGTGAGTTTTACATCTCTAGCCTGTTGACTGCAAAACTGCTTATATTTTTTATTTATTTTTTGTAAAAAGAGAACTATGAAGAGGGCCGGAGGAAATTGAGGGAAGCCGAAATAACATCCGACCTCCAGTCAGATGTGGAGACCGAAAAGAACAAAAAACGTCGTCGCAAAGCAATGTAAATATCAAATTGAACTCTTCACTTTCTTGAATTTGAATTCTGATGGAGGAGGGGATCAATGTGACTCTGGGACAGAAACAATTTAGAAATAAACTTCAGAAAATTTACAAATAATGAATCTGTGAAATCTATCTATTTGCTCAAGTCCAAAAACAGTTCATATTGATTATTGCACTATTTGGACACATTTTGTGCTCTTGTGTCATGTGTCCAGATGGAGACACAAGACATTGAACTGTGTACCAGTTTATTGTTCCGTGTGAACATGTTAGTCACCTAAAATTAGAATTTTTGAAACCTGAGCATTTTGACTACCAGGGAATTCGTACCCTCCATCTCAATTACACACTGAATGTTGGCCAAATTAACACAACCTATTGCATAAACATACTGATTTTTTTCTCAGGAAAAACCATCGTTTTCTATCATCTTCAGAGGATGAAGCGCCGATGTCCTCCATCCCTGCGGCCCAAGCCGTTCATTTTAATGCATGCCCCCCTCCTCCCTTTGTTAATTTTGACCCACCCGCCCCCAGTCAATCACCACCCCTCCCCCCAACATACACGGAGCTCACGGCAGGTGTGTACAGCTTCTCTCACTATCATGTTAAGTTCTCAGGTATATTAAATAAATAAATGCAAACTCTGTAAAAAACAATTTAGCACTGCCAGGATACCAGCATTACCACTGGTCTCCACAAGCTCCACAACCAGAACCAGGTAAGATTCACCTAACCCTATAGATCAACCACCTATTTGATTCCCACCTGAACGGGTCCTTTCTGTCGAGTTTGCATGTCTGCATAGGTTTCCTCCGGGTACCCCACCACTAAAAACATGTAAAAAAGGTGAATCCTCCAGCCAGGTGTTTCTGACCATTAGCCTGGCTTGATACAAGTCCCCAAATGCGTTTGAAGGAGAGAAACAAACTCCACACAGAAAGGCCCACAAGGCCCGGGAATACTTTATATATATATAAATATATATATATATATTATGTAATAAAACTCTGTATTTGCAGAAAGCTCTCATGGAAGCCACTCTGGTACGCTTTGTTACCACACTGAACAGACTACTACTAATCAGTTTTGTTTATTTGATTTTTATATTAATGAACTTTGTTCCAAACTTACTTTTACAGTAATTTTAAAGGAGGTCCTAACTAAATTAGAAATGGTGCTGCAGCAAAACGACACATTCTTAGATTACTCCAGCACCAGGCTACTCCTCCAGGCTTGGAGGAAGCCATTGACCTGCCACTTGCAGACCTCCCGCAGCTGTTGGCAATGGAGGACAAGCTTGGCTCACCAGAGTTCCGCTGTTCACTGGTGAGCTTTTTATTTATTTGGTAATATTAAGCGCAAAATGAAGCACAAAAATAGGAGTGGCCGACCATGGGACAGTCATACTATTTCATCCCTCTTTGTCTAAAACATACATAATTGACTCTGGTCTCATTGGAAGTTTGCTTGTCTATCTGCATTTATTTGATAGATTTTGGATGTTTTGAAATACTCACTGCATGAAAGCATATTTTCGGTTAAATTTATGGTAGCCTTCAAATTCACCTGAATTTAGCAATTTACTATTTTACTTTTTTTGCAGACTAACTACCTAGGGACAATCGGGGGCGCCGACTTCCCGCATATTAAAAAAAATTCTGAGCCATTCACTGGCCCAGAAAATGAATTGGAGGGGGGTCAACGGCAAGACTGCCCTGGCCACCCTGCATTTGCGCAAGGTTGTCGTCGGTAAGTTTAATTGTCACTTGTGGTGATAGTTTTTTTTTACTTTCCTACTGAGAGTTTTTGATTTGTGATAGTTTTTTGTTTTGTTTTTAAATCGGATTTTAAATAGTAAAACAGTAATTCATCCTAAATGTTTTTTTGTTTGTTTGTTTGTTTTTTCCTTTCAAGGTGCTGTGCGTAAAAACCCGATTATAGGGTTTACAACCGAGGCAGAGGTGGAGGACAAGATTAAAAGATGGCTCCAACTGAGTGCAGACAGGGAGGGGGGTAGAAAGAGAAGGCTGCTTGCTAAGGAGGGATTAGGGCTGTAAAAATGTTTTGAGTTTGTGAATAAGTTTTTTGTTACAATATTAATGTAAATAATGTAAATAGTTCTATCTATCTAAAATATGTTTTAGACCCCTACGTTACAGTATTTTTCATTGGGCAAATTTTTATACTTTTTTATATTTTTATATACATTTTCGCGCAAACTCATTATTTATTTATTTATTTGTGTAATTCTCTCTATATAACTCTAATAGCTCCTTTGTAAATGCTTCTAAACTAATACTTGTTTTCCTCTTCATTTTTTAAATATCCCTTTTTATACAATACAAAAAGTGGAAGGTGATCACTAATATCATTTATCATTAATCCGTCTGTATCTCTTTCTATTTAATTTGAGAAAATGTTATCAATCAAGGTGGCACTATAATGTATATAATAATCTGCAGATTATTGAAGTCTATTCTCTATTTGTTTGGAATCGGCAAGAACAATATTTATAGATATAGTGGAAATGTACTTTTTAACTGCACAAAGGTGTGAATATGGGGTTGGTGACACTGGGGTTTCAACATACTCTGGATATTCAAAGTGGAATCAAAAGTAAAAACTGCAAAAATATGATCTGATATTACCTGTCTCTTATCATGTGGCGCTTCATTTAATATTTTTTTAGTTTCACTGCATTGTTGATTTTTTTAAAATATGTCATTTTCAGGGGTGGGAAGTGCAGGGACAGGTTATTTCCCATAATTTGATAATGGCCCTTAAACTAAGCAGACATTCATCAGCCATCAGTTCAATAACTCCATTATATTTGTAAAACAAGGAGAAAGAAAGTTTTCCCCCATCATAGTCAGGTCTTGATCCCTCGCGGAGTTCTCATTGGAATCTGCTGCTGTGGTCTGCAGCGAGTGAGAGGCGGGCTTTAGAGTAGAATATCCAATCAGAGACAACCTAACACGTCAAAACGCGGCGCTATTGGCTGTCACAGTCTGCCGGGGAGACGAGTGCGAGAGGGGACAAAATGACACAGACGCGGAGGATCCGCCGATCCGCGTCTGAAGAGGAAAATTAAGTTTGTGCAGCAGCTGAGTTGAATGCGGGACACCGCTCCAATTTGCGTGATGCGGGATTTGAGTTGGAAATGCTGTGCAGTCCCGCATAATGCGGGACATCTGGTCACGCTATGTACATGTTCCTTCACCTTAATTATTGCAACATTGTTCAATTGTTGGGATTTAAATAAATGTTTTTGAAACAGTTTTTTCAGCGCCTTTTTTAAAGTCTAACATGCGTGTTTAGGTTATTTACCAGTACTCGCCCGACAGCCCAGCCGATTCTCAGCCGACATATAAATAAAGCCATTATGCTGTAGTTCAGCCGATACTGGGCCGTCATCTTTAATGAGAGTCACGTTACTGTAGTTCAGCCGATACTGGGCCGTCATCTTTAATGAGAGTCACGTTACTGTAGTTCAGCCGATACTGGGCCGTCATCTTTAATGAGAGTCACGTTACTGTAGTTCAGCCGATACTGGGCCGGTATATTCAGGGGGAGTCGCAAATATTGATTCAACCGATGACGGGCCGCCGGCCCAGCCAACTGTGGGCCGATTCGTGGGTGAGGTAATGGCCCGATGGTGGGCCAGAGAAACTTTGCTACCTGGGAAATGATCAATTTACTCGCGAACGGTGAACGCTAGCGACTTACTTTTTTTTTTATCTCCGTGAAGTACACATTCCAGCCTTTCCGAAACTGCCTTCGGTTTGTCTCTGCTACATACGGGGGATAATCTACGTGTGTATGAAAGTCAGTCCCCCAATCGGATCTTCAAGCGGTGCCCCGTGAGCCAGGCACGGCCGCATGTAAAGTTGTTTACACACACGGGGACTCAGACAAAGATTGTCAGAGAGATGCCTTTCTCCTCTGTGTTTACTTGTTGCAGCATAGGCGGCAGCGCTCAGAGGAACCAGAGGAGTTCGCATTATTGAGAATAGACAATAATAAAAACAGTAAAATTATATTATGTGTATATAATGTATTTATATATATAAATTAGATGTTTTTTTTTTGTCTTTGTTTCTTTTGTTTTACATATTTTACAGCTGTGATACAGAAGCAACCACAGCCTCATAGACAAACTGCTTGAGGAAAGGCATCAGGAGTACAGCGTTTTTGGCTTTTATAGAGGAATTTTGTAAAAAGTATTATAGTTACGGATTCAAATTTTTTCCCCATTATCCCCAAGACCCTAAAACACATTTCTATGTAGTCTAAACAGTTGTTTATAGCATTTCATTGTGTTTTTTCAATACATTTTTGTGAAATTGATTTTCCGTTTCGATTTTTTCTTTGTCTTCATGACTCCAAATTTTTTATATAATTGAAATGACAGCTCTAAAATATAGATATTCTAAAACCCCAGGTTGTACTGAAAAAAAGAAAGTATACTGCTTGACTCTGCATCAAAAAATGACTCTTTTTATGAGAAATTATACACAATGAAAACCAGGCAAGGAAGGTTCCCCAAAATGACCCTAGACCTTGGAGGGTTAAGAAGTCACTTTAGCGTAACTGATGAAATGATAATCATCATCTTCACAAATAAAGTTTTTGTTGTTTGACCTTTTGGCACACTATTATACTGTATGTTAATTTAGGCAAGCTGAAACTTTTATCCACGGTTTAAAACCCCTTTTTGCTAACTTAGGCCATCAGAGCACCCCACAATACAATATAGGCTGTGTGCATTTATAACATCCACAATATGGATATACAGGATATGCAGTTAAAATTAGAAACACCAGCTGTGAAGGTCTGGGAGTGTGAGATTACCACAGGGCTCGTTTTTGTGGGAGTAGTCTGGGCCTAATGTGTCTTAAAAACTCCTTACATTGGAGCTGTTGAAGGGGCTGCGTGATCAAGCCCTATCACCAGGAAAAAGAGTGGCTGACATTTCTGTGCGGTATAAGCTCCAGATAGTCCCAGCGCTGACTGCCACAGAAGTTTTAAACTAATACCCTGTCATATACTTTGCACCAACTTGCAGCATATATCCTCAAATAACACTCCATTGGAAGAGAAGGGAGAGGCCTTTCTTAAATATAACTTTTGCTGTTGGGTTAATTTGAAATGATAGTAAGTAAGTAAGTAAGTAAGTATTTATTTATATACCGCCTTTTCACTGCAGAACTGAGTCTCAAAGCGGTTTACAATTGTTAATTTTTGGGCATTTGTCTCTCACTCCACACAGAGATGGGAGCGGGGTCGCCAGTACAGGAGGCGCATGCCAGAACTATTGGACATATTTTTAGTGGTAGGGGAAACCGGAGTACCCGGAGGAAACCTACGCAGACACGGGGAGAACATGCAAACTCCACTCAGAAAGGCCCTGGTCCGACCGGGATTCGAACCCAGGACCTTCTTGCTGAGAGGCGAGAGTGCTATCCACTCAGCCACCGTGCCGCCCAGTACTGTGAGTAGTGATACTCACAGTACTGGTGAGTAAATAGTGAGACTACTTACTGCACTTATTTCATGTTGCCACCCCCCCGACCCTGAATTACTTGTTTTTGGAGTGTTTCACAATCTTACAATGTACTTCCGAACCGTCTGAACTATAAACAGTATAAGCTTTGGACTTAGGAAACAATGGCTATGTCCAAATTCATTAAAGAAATACCTCCTTCCTTATCCTCCCTAGCCTTTCCTTCTCATATTTAGTTACCTTTGTGGTAGAAATTGGGACCCAAGTGGTTTCAAAAAGATATTTAAAAAGTGTTAAATTGCACCAAATAATACAAAATGAAACAGGAACTATAAGAATGACAACCATGACTTGTCTATACTGATAAAAAAATCTACGAAAGTGCGAATATTGCCTTCAGTGTAATGCATGGTCACATTAGGTTGTAAAATATTTTCTAATTTTCATATTGGATTTAAAATTTTTGACATAGCCATATTCAATGATTATGTATGATGTTATAAATAGATCATTTTTAGATGGTTCTAGTATATCTGTTTAATTTGTCCCTATTTATTTAAGTGTATTTAAATCCTTCAGTGTTTTTTCTGGGTTGTTTGTTCTTATTTGTGGAAACAGTAGATCATTGTGACCTGCTCCTTGTTCAGCGCATTTCCCTCTTAAGAGGTCTGCAGGTGTGGGCAGATGGTTCACTCTCATGCAGCCTCCTCCTTTGATCGCCCTTTAGCAGAAATAAAACCAAGAATACATACTTCCCTGGTAAGTTTCTGCATACTTTCACTGCAACTATATTTTTTATGTTTAAACTTCTCTGATTTTAATATTGATAATCAGGTTTACTGACTTAAAATACATGTAACTAGTTCCTTGCTTGCAAAACGTGTTGGTATGTCACTAGTTTTCACACCTTTGTCTCTATCGCATCTTTGAATCAGTTTTCAGATGAAAAAAGGTGACCAGCACTCACAAAGATAAAGCCAGCATATTGTGGTCTGATTTGTTCATCAAATGTTTCTTAAACAAGTCTCTTTCAGATTGGACGAAGATAATATAATTACAAAAACACATTTTCATAAACATTTCATAATTTATTTATTTTTTTAATTAAAAGTTTTAGGCTTTAAAGGTTGGGGGCTGGTGCTATGAGACTTGGGTGGCATCTCTGCCTGCCACCCCCCTGACCCAGAAATGGATTAAAGGGTAGAAAATGGATGGATGGATGGATGGATGGATGGGCTTTAAAGGTGGATTTATTGAAAATTGTTATCATTATTTCACAAAATAAATGTTGGAATACTAATGCAAAAATAATGTTGCATTAGACATTGTAGATTTAATAAATGTGATATATTTATGGACAAAGGGCAGTAGAGGTAATATATTTTGAGGCAAATAATCAGCTGAAATAAAAAAGAAAAAATAAGTTCTTGGAGGAAAGAGAGTGATGTCACCGAGCACCCAGAGAAAACTTGAGGTGGAATTGAACCCTGGGCGTTTTTTTTGTGTGAAGCTGGAATGTTGTTTGTTTAGCCTTAGGCCCTATATAGACGGAGT